GCTTTGCTGATTGCGGAGAAAAATGGGGTTTAACGCCCGTTTGGGGGCGTTGGGATGGGGAGGCTGGGGAGGAGCGGGGGGTGCAGGGCTCTGGGGGTGCTGAGGTGGGCTGGGATGAAGGGGCTTTGGGGAGAGGTTTTAAAGGAGATGATGGGGCCATAAAGGGTTTGGTGTGGAAGAAACTGGGGTGTTCGGAGGGTCGACTGTGCCGATTGTTGAGAAAACTGGGTTTAACGCCGCTTTGAGGAATGGGAAGGGCGGGCGGTGCAGGGCTTTGAGGATGCTGAGGCGGAGGGTTTGGGGTATTAAGGAGAGGTTTTAAGGGGTAGGAGGGGGCATTAAGGGGGTCGGTGTGGGAGAAGGTGAGGTTTTCACAGAGCTTTGACGCCGATTGGGGTTAAAATAGGTTTTAACGCCTGTTTGAGGGCTTTTGGGTGGGAAGGATGGGGGTGGGATAGAGGGGCTGGGGCATTAAGGAGGGGTTTTAAGGGAGATGAGGGGGTTTTAAGGGGTTTGATGTGGCCCAGACTGGGGTGCTCAGAGAGCTGATAGTGCTGATTGTGGAGAAAATAGGGTTTGACACCTATTTGGGAGCTTTTGGGTGGGCTGAGGAATGAGGGTGCAGGGGGTGGGACAGAGGTGTTGGGGCATTAAGGAGGGATTTTCTGGCTCGCAGGAGGCGTCGAGGTGTTTTGGGGGGTGTTGCAGGGGAGGTTTGGGGTCATTAAGGAGGTTTTGGAGCAGTGGGAGCAGCGTGTGAGGGGCTGGGAACAGCAGGGGAGGGAGTAGCACAACAGGGACAGGCAAATTTGGCAGGTTTGGCTACCAAGAGGGAGGTGTCGGTGGCCCTGACAGGAGGGCACGCAGGGGCCTGACGAGACTTTGTGGATGTGGGGATTGGAAAAGCCGGAATCCTGCTGGAGCAGGGTGTGTGGGAGGCCGGGATGGATGAGGGACAGGGGGACAACAAGGGGGGTTTGGAGAGGGGCTGGTGTGGAGAGAGTGGGCTTGGGGTCCTGTGGGGAGCTAAACCTGGCTCTGGTTTGGGAGGGGATGGGTTGGGGATGCCTTGGAGACAGGGAAGAAGGGCTTGGGAAAAGGTAGGAAAGGGGAATTAGGGCGGGGGTCGCCGAAGTTTGGGAGGGGGTTGAGGGATTACGGGGAGGAAGGAGGTGGAGCATTTGTGTGGGCACCTGCTGGGTGGTTGTGGAGGGTACAGAGGGAATAAATGACACTCCCTGAGGTTCTGGAATACGTGGGATAGGGTTTGGAGGAGGTGGGGTGTGGGGACATGCGAGATGGTGGCCTGGGCTCTGGGAGCTCGGGTATCAGCTCAGGTGTCCTGGGGTTGCCAGGGCTCTGTTTCCCTGAGACTTCAGGAGCAGCCTGAAGGGTTTGAATAAAGGACACGGCCTCCAGTTGTGCCAGGGGGAGGTTCAGGTTGGATAGCAGGGAAAATTTCTCCCCTGGAAGGGTTGTCAAGCGCTGGAACAGCTGCCCAGGGCAGGGGTGGAGTCACCAGGTATTTAACAGGTATTTCAAAGACATTTCTGTGGCACTTGGGGACGTGGTTTTGTGGTGGCCTTGGCGGTGCTGGGGTAAGGTTGGATGGTCTCAGAGGGCTTTTCCAGCCTTCATGATTCCATGATTGTGTCCCTTAACTCCACAAAGAACAGCCCAGGAACTGAAGTGCTCGATGCTTTCAATAGTTGCAGCACAATACATGGAAGTATTCACCAGTGGAAAGCCAGATAATGGGGAAGCAGGGACACGGTGCTCGTGAGCTGCAGACAAACCCTTGGCCCAGCAACCTGGGGGCTGTGTTTGCTGGAGGCTTTCAATTCAAACAAAACAAAAACACCACCCCCCCCCAAAAAAAAAAAAACAAACAGCTTTTTATGTTTAGTACAAAAAGGGAACAAAAGCATTTTCACTTTTTTGGACAATTTGCCTGGGAAATGAGGAATTCTGCTCTGAGGGAGAGAAATGGAGGTGGTTCTGCTGGTAACACGTGAAGTGCAGTGCTGGTTGTGTTCCCTCCCTGCCTGCACTCAGAAGTGGAATTGCTCGTGAGGGAGAAGCGAAAGTGACCTTTTTCAAATAATATTTCCACGGAAGAAATGAATCTTAATTGTTTAGGAAGAGCTCAGTGTCTCTTCAAAGCACCTCAACCCTCACGATCGGCGGCAGAACGCCGAGATGGGAGCAACAAAAGTGCCGCAGGAGAAAATGGTTTCCACTCAAGCCTCTCTCTTCCTGAGTGATTTCTGTAATCTGAGACCCTGTTTTAGAGTTTGTCATGAGAACATTGGGGCTCTGGGAACATCTGCAAGCTTTTGAGCTGCACAGGGAGCTCCAGCCAGCATCTGGAATTTGGCACTTTAGAGGAGGAGCCCTGTCGTCCGTTAATTTTTTTTTTCCCTCCTCAACATTTCTTGTTCTTGTGTTCTCTTTTTTTTTTGTTTTTTTGTTTTCAGCCCAGATGGAGGCCCAGTGTTTGCAATAAATTTCCCAAGCAGTCAGCAGATAGCAGGCAGTTCATAAAAATAACTTGAAACAAAGCAATCCGTGACCCTCCCTCGCCCTGCCCCCGAGTCCCAAACAGGGGTGGAAAAATTCTTCAGGCTATATAAAGACTGGAGTAAGGGCCAGAGGGAATTCTTGGAGTTCTTCCACGGGCTTTGGAGTTTTGCTGTGCCATGTGGGGAGCAACCCCCAGCAAGTAAAGAATGGGTTTGGAAATAGAAATGAAAAATCCCTTGACTAAGAGAGGAAAAGTGCCCAAAAAAGGGGATGTTTTTTTTGGAGGGTGATGTCATCCTTCCTGTGTCTGTGCTCAGTGGTGACTGAGTGTTTTCCTTCATTTCTGAGCAAAATGTCTGTTAAATGGTTGCTTTAAGTATCTCCCCCTGAAAAATCAATGTGGATTTGGTGTGTTTGAATTCCCTTTCTGTAAAACAGAGCAGGCAAATCCTCCTTATTCCTTACCCCTGCTGAACACAGAAGAGTTCTCACCACGTGGGGAAATGCAAAATGAGTCCTTGGGTTAATGTTCCTGTTGTCTCTTCCCCTGTGCTTGACATTCTCATCCTCTGAACTGCCCTGTCGTTTAATCACAGCCTGGTTTAAGGATGTGGCTTTTTTTTTCCCCCTGTGGCTCCAGAGGATCCCTCGGAGGGGTGTTTGGGAGCACAGTGGTGCCAGAAACAAGGGAGTTGTTTTGGTTTCCCAACCGGTTTTAACGGGGCACCTTGTATGGAAAGATTAAGTCTGTACCCGAGTGTTCCTGGTGGAATTGTGCCGAGGTTCAGGAATTTTGTAACAGCACAGTTTCACTGGGTTGTTTTTTTTTTTTTTTAAGGAGTGCACTGGATTTTAGCAATGCAAAAGCAGCGGTGGTTTGACTTGCTGAAGTACAGGAGGGGAAAAAAAAAAAGGGAAGCAAACCCCATTCCTTGAATATGGAGGATTTTCTACCATGGGAAGGAAGGTGGCTCAAGGTCTGCGTGTGACTGCAGCCAAAGTTTAGAGGGAATCCAAGAAGTGATGGGACTGGAGAGGCAGAAGGAAAATGGGCCAAGGAGAGGAGCAGGGCTGTCACACCCACCCCTGGAGCTCCAGCTCAGGTTCCCCCCTTTTGCAATGGTTTGGATTGAGCTGATGGAAAAACGTCTTGGGAGCTTTGTGGCCGCGTGGCTGCAGAGCTCAGTGCTCCAGGAGTGGGAAATTTGAGGCCCCACAGCTTCACTCCTGATTGTTGAGGTGCCAAACGGTGCCTTGTCCTTCTGAGCAGAGGCAGAACAATCACCCTGGGGCTGCTCCTTCAATTATTGCCTTTTTTTTTCAGGGATAATGGTTTTTGAGAGTGAATGGTTGTAGCCTCTGATGTGCCAAAATCATCAGGCAGTTCCAGAGGTTTAGGAAGGAGAGATTCAGGTTTGCTCCTTTGTGCTTTGAGAGGTCTCTGAAATGCAGGAAAAAAAAAATAAATATTAAATGTTCCCGACCATTTGAAGTCAAGAAGTGAGGAATTTGGTCCTGGGAATGCCCCCAGAGGTGAAATTTCTTCGTGTCCAGTTTTGATATTTGCTGCTTAACTGTTGCTAAAAAGTTGTTGGATCTATTTGCAGTCAAGGTCTCCAGGTTCATTTTAGAGAAATTTGGGAAATAGCTGGAAAGTTTTGTATGTTAAAATACGTAAAAATACACATTAAAATACATTAAATGACATTACATAAAAGTGTATTTTAAGGTGGATGAATGCCACTGTCTTTTGTGAATGCCAAGCAGTAAAACAGTTATTTTAGTGAGCTGTGAAAAAAAAAAAAACAAACCAAAAAAAAAACCGAGAAAGGATGTCACTGTTCAGGC